CCAAATAAACTAACTACAATTAAAATCTTTCTAATATAAATAAATTCAATTTTTATAATTATTAATATTCCATATCCACCCAATTTTAATATAATAGATATTTTCATATTTCTTTTTTTTCTTATATAATAACTATTAAAATTTATATTATCGAATATATAATAATAAGATCCATCCATAAAAATCTTATCACGATTGTTACGACGTTAAGGATTTGTAAACTCGTTCCCGTATTAAGTCCCCATCTTCCCAAGTCCCATGTTTCCCAAGATATCGTATAACTTAGAGATTACACGATTTCCAAGTTGGCTTAACTTCCACCACTTGGTTTAAAGGGTGATGACTTCGCGAACAATTCTCTCTCTTCTCTCAGTTGCATTCTTAATCGATTCTTAATTTTTTATTCGATCGATGTATTTCCAATCGATCTTTTATCTATTCTCGTTATCTTCCTCAGGTATTTAATATCCAATTAAATCCATTTCATCCAATGAAATATCCACTATAATCCAATTTCATCAAGTGATTTTAAATAAATAATATAGTGTTAATTACGATTTTATATATAGGAAAATATTTAAATTAATGATTAAATTAGGAATAAAAAAGTATTTATAAAATCGTGTATAGGAAATATATTATCACTTGTTTATCAAAAATATATCTTATAGATTATAATTTTAGGTCGGTCATGAATTAAGTTTTAAATAGCCGAGTGTACAAGATAGAATAATAAATTGTGTTTTTTCCCAATTGGAAATCCCAATATATATCCAAGTAGCATAATTCACGGATCTTGGTTCGAATTGGAACGCTTGTTTGTGGACGATAAAATCGATCGATACATTCTATAATCGTCGTGAATCATCGAAATTTATTATTCGTTATTTCTCTTCCTGCTATTATATTTTCTAATTTTTGTCCTTTAGAAAGAGTGCTTTTTAAATTATTAGAACGATCCTCTTTTTTTTCCATTTTCAAAGAATCGTTTTCTTTTTCGTTACTCTTATCTTTTCGTCCTCCATTCATTTCCTTTTCTTCTTTTTTTTCAAAAGAATATTCGTCCAAAGGTTTCCAGCTTCGCGACAAAGATGCTTAAAAAAAAAAAAAAAAGAAAAAAAAAATGTGCCGTTTGGACAACGAAACAAAGTTACGAAGCTTTGCTTTCACGAGACCGTTTCAAAAACTTTAAAAGCTTTCGCAACTGTACTGTTATAATATTATCAAACATCCAAACGTTTTATGATAGTTAATATTTACAAACAGAATTAGAGATAGAATTTTAAAATATCGAATTTCATAATATTTATTTATTAACAAAGTATGATATTTTAAAAAATTCTCTGCTCCTCTCTCTCTCTCTCTCTCTCTCTTTGAATAGCAAAAAATAGAAAAAAAAAAATAGGC